TTCCCTACGAGACCAACCTTTTCATGTTGTTGGTCTTTTTTCTTGGCTAATTTTGGAATCAATTGACTTTTCTTGCTGCTCCTTCTACTGATACTGTAGTAGATGACTATAACTAATATTGATGTTTTTATCCTTATGGGTAAAGATGAAAACGTTATGTGCAAAGCCGTGACTGCAAGGACATATCAAGGGCAAGCTGTCCTGTAGAGGAAGGACAAGCCAAGAGTCACAGCAAGGCTGCAGGGTCTGTGATCTCATGGGCCAGGGAACAGTCCCACGGGCCCTCACCAAGAAGAGCAGTACAGGTCCGGTGACAGTAAACGGGGTCAGCCAAGAGTGCAGATTGCCAGGCCAGTCCACTGGAATGGGCAGGCCTGCAGTCCTACCAGGACGTCATGTCCAGGGCTGAGAGTCAGGGCTGAGGGCAGTGAGGCCCCACAGAGGCCTGGCCGCAGCTTTGAGGCGTGCCAGCATCTTCTAGATCTGACAGATGAATTCCTTCTCTGGAAGAGAGGGAAGTAACACCACCATAGCTCGAACTACTGTATGAAGTTGGCTTTGCCCAAGATCACCCCCTGAGCCATGTCTTAGGCATGAGTTGAGCAGGAGGCAGTTCAGGTTTTGCTTTTCTGAACGGTCTCATTGCTTCCCGGGGCACGATGTGGTGAGGCAATGCACAAAAAAGGCTGTAACCTTGCTCATTGGTAGCTGTCACAGCCCACCTTTCCCATGTCATGGGGACCCAGAAGTCGAGTTCCCAGAAGTGCTTTTGAGGTTTCTCTGGTTGTTCAGTAGCACGTAAGCTTTTATCTACTTCTCTGCTTATTGCTCAGATTTGTTGCTACAGCAGCCATGTTTCAGCACTATGTTTGTGTTTAGAAGGTATTGTAGAACGAGTGAACTGCCTTTGTAGTGACTCATTTTCAGTCCACAAGTTGGCAGGGTTTTGTGTTTCTGTTGGAAATCCTGTTTTGAGTGATGGGAAGGGATTACATTTAGGCAGTTTAAAATAAGTCTAAAGTTTCTACTTTCTGTTAGAGACTTTCAAGTGTTTACTTTGCTGGTTTCCTCCACTTCTTTTTATTAAAAGACAGGGCATCATGTTCTGTGTTCAATAGGTGTAGAAAAGGTATGTTTCTGGAGAGAGGAAGAGGAGGACTGAGCTGTAGTTGACCATCGGGACCTATTGAAAGTCTGAGATTTCCTGCAAATTTTTGAAAATAAACTGCAGCCTTGACCTAGAAAGAATACGTCTTGTTCCACCGCTGCTGTAAAAGCTGCATTCTGAACCACTATTTACAAATCTTTCAGTGTAATGGGAAAAAAGAATATCTACTGCTTCTCCTGTCGGTTCTGTAATGAAGCTTTGACTGTGTTGACAGCATGTAAAAGTTCCCCTAAAGCAAGATACGTCTTCTTTCTGATGAAACCAGAAGGTGGCTAGGTGTGGGTGTGTTTGATTTCCCTTGAGCATATGAGCATCTCAGAAAAATAGCCCTAGTGCTTTTCAGCCCAGCCCTATGGGTGAAGTGCTGCTAGTTTGATACTTCTTGGTACCTACTGCAGAAGAAATGAGAAGGAATCTCTCAGGTCCCCATCCTGTCAGAAATAATGTGAAAGCTGCTCTTGTTTTAAGAGAGGAGCCTGATTTCACTTTGGTTTTAATACTGAGTCATCAGATGATGAACACAGTCTCAAAGGCAAACTCCTTTACAGATTTATGGATTTTTCACAGAATTGACTAATTTTAGATCCCTCTGAGGTTTTTTTTTTTCTGCTATTCTTGTTGTTGTCTACAGGTTGGTGAACTATCCCAGCAGCTGGAGATAGAGTCTAAAAAATGCATGCAGCTAGAAGCACAAAATCAGGATTTGCAAGAAGAGTTGTCCACTGTGCGTGGGAACTATGAAAAACTGGAGAAGAGCAAATGTCAGCTGAAAGAAGAGGTGGCCAACCTCAAACATCGTTTGGAGACTAACATGGTGGATCACAGCCAAATAGAGCAATATAAGAGAGAGATGGAGGAACGAACCGGACAGGAAATAAGACAAAAACTACAAGAAGTCAATCTGTTTTTGCAGGCAAGTGAATTTCTCACTTGTGTCTCTAGTCTCTATTATATACTTTTGTTGTGGTTGTTGTTTTTTGAGATTTTGTTTTTAGTGCCTGATTCTGTGCGTTAGTACTGTACTTCTGTCTTTCCTGAAGGGCAATGGGAGAAGGCAACATGGTTGGGCCAGAGAGCTTTTATGTGTTTGTAAAGTGGCTGCAGGTCTCTGAAGCAAAAGCTTGCCCAAGATAGTTTTCCGTTTCTTGAGGAGTATTGCTGTCCACTGGTTGTGTTCTTGCTGTTCATACTGGAGTGGGTGTTGCAACTTACAGTTGTCATGGCCACACATACAGGTTCTACGTTGTCATTTTACAGGGGAAAGTGCTCAGAAGGAAGTCACCAAAGTTGCGGGGGAGGAGGGGTAGAAGTGAGGGATCTTCATAATTTCTTTGAGGAATCCTTTTCTATATGCCTTGTCCTACAGAGATTGTGTTCTTTCATTAGTAGCTTTGATGAATAGCAGTGGTAAGAGGGGGTTTCTTTCTGAATGAAAAACATTATTTAACATGGTAGTTCCAGGGTTCTGCCTTGATTGCTGATGGTAGGGAGGAGGCACAGTTGCCTCACCCAGAAGGCTGGGCTCTTGAAATTGGGTATAGGCAATTGACTGGCAGGGAAGAGTTCTCTTTTTCTTTGGTTTAAAGTATGTTATCTGCTTCAGTCGCAGGCAGCCTCCCAAGATAGACTAGAACAAATCAGAGCCAGTCATCATGCTTCACTGAGAAACCAGCTAAAACACAGAATTAGAGACCTCGAATGTGAATTGGACAGAATAAAAAATACTCAACAAGACAGTATTTTTCAAAAAGAATCCACGCAGGCAGAAGTAGAAAGGTACAAAGAGCTGTATCTGGAGGAAGTAAAAATTAGAAAATGCCTAGCAAATAAACTGGAAAGGTAAGTCCATGCTTTTTTGGAGTGGTAATAAGATACTACTTTTTCCTCATGCATTTTCCCCCTAAAATCCCTCTTCTGCATCTGGTCAGCATTATATATGTAAACACAAGATGGCATATTTGTGAGGAAAGTTCACAAAGGCTTAAGACCCTTCCTCTTTATAGAGCTGTCTTCAGTTCTCTTTTGTATTGCAGCAGTAACACCACTGATCATGGCATTAATAGTGTATTTTTTGCCTTGATATTGTGTCTTAACAGGTAGCCTTTTTCACCAATGTCTAATAATCTCCTCTTGTGTATGGCAGCAGAGATAAATTTGGTGTCCTCTACTGCTTGAATAAGGCTAGGCCCTTCAGAGAACAGAATTTGATTCTGTGAAGCAAACAAAAATAAATCTTTTTTGGCTTCCATTTTAGCAGCATGTCTGAGGTTTGAGCTTTCCTTGGGAAAGGGAGGGTAGCCCTGAGTTCTTACACAGGTGAGGTACCTTTCAGAAGAAGCTATGTACATGCATTCGCAGATTGCTTTGAAGTCCTAAGCGTTGGTAACTCTTGCTACTTCTTGCAGGTAATGTGACTTAGAAATAGATTCTCCAAAAAACCTCAGATCAGATGATGGTCTTGTTTTGGATGCTCTTAATCCCTTCCACTTTCAGAAGTCAAATAATAGTCAAAAACCTGGAGGGTGACTTTATGAAGTGTTACTACAAAAGATAATTGCTTGTATGCTTCTGAATGTTTCAGAGCTAATGAGAAACTAGCAGAAGCCAATGCTAAGCTCCTTCAGGAACGCCATAGAAGCAAATCTTTAATCGCAAGCAGCATTGTCAGTGGAGGTCTGGCTGCAAGTCCAGTTCTGTATTCAACTGAACTGGGACATCTTGGCAACGGTTTGGCACTGAACAGAAGTCTAAGTCTAGGGGGAAGCTTCCTAAGTCCAACTGGGAACGCGTTATCATCAAGAAACAGGGTTGAAGCCTATGTGGCTAAGGTAAGTATTTTGAAATACTGCTCTAAGCTACTGCTAAAGAGTATTCATAATGCAAGGTTATGCTTTTTAGCTTAAAGTTAGCATCCGTTTATAGCTCCAAACTATATGATCTCATATGCCAAAACAACTACTAATCATCAAAACAGTACACAACTATATGTGGTAGTGGTGAAGACTTTTGGTCATCAGGGTTGTACAAATTTGCAAGTGTGTTTGAAGACCAAAAAGTACTGACATCTAAGTAATGAACTGTGTAACTACATTCTTTTACAAGAGAAACTGTGATAAGGAATACTGTGGCATAGGAAGTTCCCAGCTAAGCTCTTCATTAAATTTTAACATATGGTATGTATGACCTGTTTAAAATGGCTAACTTTATGATGAGCGCAAAATCCCATCAGACATCTTTTTGAGACACCTTTTCCTCTTCACTGATTTTCATTCTGGTAGTTTCTCCATTGGAATTTTAGTACATTAATCCCAACAAAGGGATGTTTCAAAAATAGAGTGATATGAACAGGATCACATAACTTCTCACTTTATACTTCAGCGTGGAACATATACTATCCATAGGAGGCATTTGGTTTTGCAGTTCCTGCTACGTGTTGTTACATGAAAAGATAAAGTTAACTACTCCTCAGGCATTCTCACAGCTTTCTAATTTTGCAGCAATACCTCTGCAATACCTCTGGTCAAAGTATGCCCTGTGATTAGCAGTCAATACGATAGCACGTCCCTCACAGACTGGTGAGAACGTTACATCATGAGATTTGGAAACCAGATGTCAATGATCCGTAGTCAGTTTCCCCCCTAGCATAGGACTGAGGCATGGACAAGCTTCTCTATTCAGTCAGCGTTCTATCCCTTGCATATCCTGTTGTTGAATGAACGTGAGAAGTATTCATTCACTTCTAAGTCCCTCTCTATTCACTGGTCCCACCCGCATTGGAAAGAACCCATTTAAACAGTGTATCTACATACTGCACCTGTTTGGTTTTTTAGTTAAAAAAAAAGCAAACACTAAACAAAAACCACAAACAAAAAAAAAAACACACAAAAAAAAACGAAAAAAAACAAAACCAAAAAACATCCCAAAAACACACACACACACACACAAAACCCACAAACATAGAGAAAGCAGTGTCAGCTAGAACTTTTTTGTATCACTATGAATGTGTTTTACCAGACGCACAGTCTGTGGTGTCATTTCTGCGGGAGTCCTGTGCCATTCAGTAAAGAAATTGGACCACAAGGAAAGAATTCAGAGATTACCGTTTCAGTCTATTTTGAAGTACTTTGCCAGTTGTGCTGCTTACTACTCTGCCTATTCACCAGAGTATTTAAAGACAGAAGAGTTTCTCTGACTCTAAGCCTTTTCTTCACTGTTTGCTTCGATTATGCCTCTTTTTTTTTTTTCCCCAGTAACCTGGTTCCCTTCTACAGAATTTGTCTTGCCTTTAAATTCAAGTTGAGCAGTGCCACCTTGGCTGGAGATTACAAGTGCTCCTACCACTAAAGCCCATAATGACAGGGAGTTAAGGAGCTTAAATTGCAGTGTGCCTCAGGTAGTCGTCTTTCGCTTCTTTTTTTAGTCAAAGCTGTCTGTGCAGGTTTGGTGTTTCTCCAAGTTGCTTCCCCAAGGTGAGAAAGCCTATTCGAAGTAGAGGATATGCTATTTGTAAGAGGAGGATGTTTATGTAAATTTGGTTTGCGCAAAAGCTTTTAAATAGCTTTAGGGGCAAGGAGGTGAAAATACTTCACGCTGCTTTTACTCAAAATGCTAGTATTCATTCTTTAAGTCCATGCAACTACTGGAAAAAACATTGGTAAATGATGCTGATTGCAGACAAGAGGAAGAAGTGCTCCTCTGGCAGTTACTTCTTTTAGATGTAACTAAGAAATGTGGAGTTTAAAGGCTTGAAAGATTTCACAGTTTTTGTAAACCACTAGCAAATGTCAGTGATGATGCATATAGCCTTACATTTTGAAAAGGTCATGTCAAGCTCAGCAAAACCCAAGCATTTTATTATTTAAAAAAACATAGAATTTTGTTCCCTTATGGTATAGCCCCTTTTCCCCTTATCAAACATATATGCTACAGAAATCAATAACCTTGAAATGGAAGTGTAAAAGTATCTTGAAAAATACAAAACATTCATATGGACGTTAACCAGTAAAATGCCAATCACATGCAAATGTCTTTGGGATTTTTTGGTTGTTTTTATTTTTGTTAGAGCTCCAGTAATGAGGAATAAATTACAAGTACTTGAAAAATACTGTGCATGTAATTACAAACAGTGACTGTAGCAACTAACAGTTCATTGCGTTCTGGAAGGAGGTTGGCTGAAATTTGTTTCATAGTAGGACGTGTGTCATAAGGACATGCATGTGTATTGCCTGTCCTTTACAGGAGTAAAGAGATCTTTGATGGGTTCTTTTTATCTTTTTGTGATGTGATCTACTGACTCCCAGACTGCTCAGGAATTGGCATGTCACCATCCAGAACTAAATTAAATCAAGCAGATGAAACACAAATAGTGAGGTACTGCTAGTGTTCTGGGTACCTTAATTTGAGAACTGCTGCCTTAGTCCGTAGACTAAGGCAAGGAATGTCTGCTGCAAGGAATTTTTGGGACTGGAGTCCTGTTGTTAGGTTTAACAAGCATCAAGCTTAAATCCTAACAGCTGTGGAAAGGTTGGTGAAAATGAACATGACTGTTCTTCCTGACATAGAAGATAATAGTGAACTCTGCTAGCTGCAACCAGCGTGAATTTGTGAAACCAGTTTTCCTACATAACGTGAGAAAGGAATGTCTGCTTCCTACTCTATCGCTCAATTTCTGTTCCTTTTCCGATTTCATGTTCCATCTGCACTCTTGTATTGTAGCAGTCTTTGTATTGTCAGCTTTTTTACTTGCTTCATTTACCTGTGGGCCATGTTCTTATTTCTCACTGAAGACCTTTGAACTTAAGGCCCTTTTCCTTTCTTCTTCAGCTCCTTAATCAAAAGATCTGTTCTCTCTCTTCTCTGCAGCCAGATACATAACAAGGTTTGTAGTCAGTATGGTTTAATGTTGGGTGGTGTATCGTACTGGAAATGTTTTGTCTATTTATGCTGTTAGGTTTTGATTAAAACTTACTGATGCAGTCACAGTATTAGGGGGTTCCTTCTCCCCAGGATTTTACTGCAGCTTGTACCTACTTGAAAACAATTAGAGGTTTGGAGGTTTGAGGAGTCCTTTTCCATTGTTTTTTCAGCTCCAAGCTCCCCTCTTCTAGCTGTGAAGGCACAGACTATTCCAACGAAGTACCACTGAGTGGTTCTTCCCCTCGAGGACCTGGTGAATTTGGTCACAGCTATCCCTGTAGTCCTGGAGAGAGTGCCCTTCCCTCCACTTTTCTGGTTATAGTCCTACTTCTTTGGCTCTTGGAGTTACTGCCTATTACTGCTCCTCTTGTGAGAGTTTCCAGACTGCTTCCCTTACTGAGCCTTTTGCTCTCTATGGTCTGCTGAGTACACTGCATAGTGTTTCATTTCTCCTCTTTGTTGGTATGTTGCTAGGTGAGCCTGCCTATTTCCTGAAATAAATACTTACTCCCTCAGGGATCTGGTACTAAAATCAAAGAATCACAGAATAGGTGAGGGTGGAAGGGGCTTCTGAAGATCATCTAGTTCAAACCCACCCCCACTCAAAGCAAGATCAGCCATAGCGGTTGCTCAGGGTTATATCCAGCCAGGTTTTTGTATATCTTCAAGGATGGATACTCCACAACCTTTTCTGGTCAACTTGTTCCTGTGTTTGACCATGCTTACAATTTAAAAAAAAAAAAAATATATTCTTTATGTTCAAATTACATTTCCTCTATTTTGATTTCTGCCTATTCCTCTTTTCTTTTACTTGACACCACGAGAAGACTTTGGCTCCATCTTCTTTGCTCCTCCTCCCCCCAGGGATTTATACACATAGATAAGGACCTGCTGAGCTTTCTTCACTCCAGTAAAGAAACAGTCACAACTTTCTCAGCCTCTCCACATAGCTCACATGGTCCAAGCCCTTCGGCATTTTTGTCAGTGTCATAGGCCTGGAAGCTGTATGGTATCTGTTTCAAAAATGGCTTTTATGTGTCACAGACTTGATGGAAAAAATGTAGGAGTCACAAGTATTGTCAAATGTAACCCCCAGCCTATAGCACCTGGACTATGACTCTTCAAAAGATCTGGTTTCTTTTTATGAAGATTTTGAAGTCAGAATCATAATTGAGAACAACTTAATTGGTAGCAGTAACCACCACCTAGGGGAGAAGGGGATCAGTGCTCCTTTCTAGTGATTCAGGGTGATTTCAGTTACATAATAAAACCCACAGCACTTGCTGTGTAGAAGCTGTAGCTGTTGCTGTCTTTTCTTAGTACAAAGTTCGCCAGAAAAAAATGTGTGGTTTTATATTTTTATATATATGTGTGTGTCATGGTACTTGCAATAACAATAAAGAAAAATCTTGGCATGATTTGTAGGAGCTCTTTCAATTTTCCATCTTAAGGTAGAAAACAGAAAAATATTGGTGCATGTTTTTTTCCATACAGTGGAATATGTCAATCCTGCAGCAGCTCCTGTTGCATCTCTTCTCTTATGAAGCTGCAGAAGCCAGCCTCAGCTGAATTTGTCCCTATGGATGGCATTTGTGCATATCTCAGCATTTAGCTGACGTTCTGCTCATGTATTTGATGACAGGCTTTAGCCATACCTTCACTCTAATAACTCCACTGTGCTTTCTCCCTGTGTGTTTTTTAAATGCCCAGTCATAATTCGGCTGGTGAGTTACGGATTGTTTTGTGCTACAGTTAATGTTGCCCAGCAACGAGAATGCTACAGCCTGACTGACCAGGAGTTTCTCTTCATTATATATCAAACCCCAAACCAAGATGTCTCTATTTGGGATGATATTTGTATCAACATATGTGTGGGTTTTAAGAATGTTTTAGAAGTTTAATACTACAAAAATGTAACTGGTAAAACATTAACTGTATATTTTCTGTATAATTTCTAGGTACGACAGGAACTGGATGAAAAAATCACTAAAGAACTTGAACAAGGTAATGGGTCGTTGTTAGGAGTGTTTTTGAGGAAAAAGATGACTGTTCCTAACTCGTGAAAATAGTGTCTTGAAAGCTGTCAAGTTCCTTTGCTAAGCACATTTTTTTTTTTTCTGCTAGCTTTACAGTTCAGACTTGTGTGTGAAAACTTCCTGCTTACCAAAATATAGTGTACAATGTTATGCCAAAAAAAAAAAGCGACCAAGAAAACTGATTTCCCCCAGATACACTTGGCTTACGCTGAAGTCATCTTTGACTAGAGTTAATCCTCAAGCACAAACATCAAAGAAGCCCTGAGATATGATTTTTATAGACTTGAACTATCACTTCTCCTTCCACATACATCAATTGCATTCAGCACCAAACCATACCATACACATTCTCCACTGCTAGTTCTCAGTTTTTGCTGTCTGTTATTGCTTCTATTTGTAGCTTATATGTTGCAGTCATTTTTGAATAAGCAGAAAGAATACCATCAGTGACAAAAGATACCCTTTCTCTAGGAAAAGATCATTCAGTAGTCTATAGGCCAACATAAGACGAGTTGACTGCTTGTAGTACATAGCATAAAACGTGCTCTGTAATAGGCCAGGTGTCCAAAGAGGAATTTCACCTGTTTCATGGTAACTGTTCCTCCAGAGTCACCACTTTGCAGTGATTGGTGCTATTTCAAAGTGGGTGGCCCCTGAGAGCATTTCCTTCTGTTCCTGTGTGCTTTTAGTCATACAGAGTGTTCAGCTGTAGCTTCATAGTTCTTTCCATGTGTCTGAATGGACACAAAGCCGTTGCATCTGCTAGGAGTCATAGAGTATGTTTAGTTTGGGGACCTTGTCTGAAAAAGGTGGCTGGAGAAAGATGGCGAAGGTGGGCTTGCTTTCATAGAGTGTGTGTTTTCATGGAGAAAAGAGAGTTTTGCCAGACACCCCTTAGAGAAGGTGCCAGGCTGGGAGACTTGTCGTGGCCTGACTGCAGTGCAAAGGTGTTTGCATTTTCACAGGCAGATTTTTTTAAAAGCTTGTCACGGCAAATGCAGAAGCTGTTTTTCAGGAGTAATGTTCTAATAAATCACTAGTTTGAACGTTTTAAGGAAAACAGACACTTGAGGTTGGAGAGGTCCGCAGGGGAATAAATTTAGCACTGGTGTAAGCAGGAGTCATTTGTGGATTTTCTGAAGATGTTCAGTGTGTAGCCTCTGGAATTTCTTTCATTAGCTTTAGAAATACTGTTGACTGTGTGGTGGGTTGACCCTGGCTGGATGCCTGGTGCCCTCTAAAGCTGCTCTATCACTCACCTCTTCAGCTGGACAGGGCAGGTAACGAAAGGCTTGTGGGTCGAGATAAGGACAGGGAGAGATGATTCACTAATTATTGCAAAACAGACTTGACTTGAGGAAATTAGTTTAAATTATTACCAGTCAAATCAGAGTAAGGTAATGAGAAATACAGATCTTAAACCACCTTCTTCCACCCCTCCCTTCTTCCCAGGCTTTGCTCCTGATTTTCTCTGCCTCCTCCCCCACAGTGGTGCAGGAGGACGGGGAACAGGATTTGTGGTTGGTTCATCACATGCTGTTTCTGCTGCTCCTTCCTCCTCAGGGGGAGGGCTCCTTACACTTTTCCCCTGCTCCAGTGTAGAGTCCCTCCCACAGGAGACAGTTCTCCATGAATTTCTCCAACATGAGTCCTTCCCACAGGCTACAGTTCTTCACTAACTGCCTCATCATGTGTCCTTTCCACAAGGTGCAGTCCTTCAGGAACAGATTGCTCCAGCATGGGCTCCTCTCTCTCCATGGGTCCACAGGTCCTGCCAGGAGCTCACTCCAGTGTGGGCTTCCCACAGAGTCACAGCCTCCTTCGGGCACATGGACACATCCATCTGCTCTGGCATGGAGTCCTCCATGGGCTGCAGGCGGATCCCTGCTCCGGTGCCTGGAGCACCTCCTCCCCTTCCTTCTTCACTGACCTTGGTGCCTGCAGAGTGGTTTCTTTCACATTCTCACTCCTCTCTCTGGCTGCAGTTGCTATTGCACAGCAACTTTTTCTCCTTCTTATGTTATCCCAGAGGTGCTACCACCATTGCTGATGGGCTCAGCCTTGGCCAGCAGTGGATCCATCTTGGAGCTGGCTGGCATTGGCTCTGTCAGACATAGGGGAAGCTTCTAGCAGCTTCTCACGGAAGTCACCTCTGTGGCCCCTCCACTACCAAAACATTGCCACACAAACCCAACACAGATTGATAAGCAAATGTGGAAAAAATATATTTCTTCCTTTGTGCCTAACCCTTTCATTGTTACGTTCTCTTGGAAGTTTTTAAATCCCTTTCTGGACTGTAGTCTCTCCAGTTACCCGTAATGTTTTTACAGTGACTTATTTGGCCTTGTCTATTGTAAAAGTAACATCGGGAATCTTGTCTCTTTTCTCCCTAGCCACTGCTGAACTTGAAACTGGATCTGCTGGAGTGTCTCCCATGGTATCTACGGATGGATCTTCAAAAAATTTCCATGTTGACCAGGATCCCCTTTGCAGGGCAATACAGGAGTACCGTGATGTTTTAACCAAAAACTATCTAATTTGAACAAAATGCTAGAGAGAGGCTCTGGAAATAATTTTGTTTGCATAGTGCATCCATGGCCTCATCCCATGGTTCAGGTGTGAAAACATGTTTATTGCAGTCTGAATATAAATTCTATTAAATGAATGTCAAGCACATTGCACTTACCTGTTGGTTTATTGATGCATAGTTGGTTTATTTTGCGTTCACAATAAGAAGCATATCTATTTTTTGTGACTGGCAGATTGACGAATCTTGATTGTTGAGCTTGGCAGAACTGTCAAAATGTTTCTGATTAAGGTAGATGCATTATTTTGCTCTACTCGTGTTCTGTGTTTTAACAAAAGCATTCCCTTTGTCCTCTTTAATACTTTCACTCTGTGTTTTTAATGTTTCCAGTGTTATTTTAATGCGTAGGACGTTGTTTGATGTGCTTTGAGCCTGATGCTTCAGTCCTGATGCAGTGAATGTTTCTGCTGATGAAGTGGAAGTTTTACCAGTGTTCAAGCTGGACAACAGAGCACTTTACATTGCTGTCACTTTATGCGCCTTAGGTTTAAAATTACTGTGAGTGTGTAGTAGTGCCAAGAAAGTTGTTTTGTGGTCTTTCTGGTATGTTCGTTTTGTATCACAGAACCACAGAATGGGTGAGGTTGGAAGGGACCTCTGGAGGTTATCTGGTCTAGCCCTCCTGCTCAAGCAGGACCACCTAGAGCTGGTTGCCCAGGATCATGTTGGCTTTTGAGTATCTCCAAGAATGGAGACTCCACAGCCCGCAGGGGCAACCTGTGCCAGTACTCGGTCACCCTGACAGTAAAGAAGTGTTTCCTGATACTTGGACAGAACCTTTTGTGTTTCAGTTTGTGCCCGTTGCCTCTCATGGTATTCGTGTTGATTTTTGTATTAAAAATTGCTGCAGCTTTAGACATCCACAGTTCCTATATCAACTGAGGAATGATTCTTCCCCTCTACTCTGCCCTCGTGAGACCTCACCTGGAGTACTGCGTCCAGTTCTGGAGCCCCCAACATAAGAAAGACATGGACCAGTTGGAGAGGGTCCAGAGGAGGGCCACGAAGATGATAAGAGGGCTGGAGCACCTTTCCTATGAGGACAGGCTGAAAGAGTTGGGGCTGTTCAGCCTGGAGAAGAGGAGGCTCCGGGGTGACCTTATAGCGGTCTTCCAGTACCTCAAGGGGGCCTACAAGAAAGATGGGGAGAGGCTGTTCAGGAGGGCCTGTTGTGATAGGACAAGGGGTAATGGTTTTAAAATAGAGGGAGGTAGATTCAGATTGGATATTAGGAAAAAATTTTTTACCATGAGAGTTGTAGAACACTGGAACAGGTTGCCCAGAGAGGTGGTGGATGCTCCATCCCTGGAGACGTTCAAGGCCAGGTTGGACAAGGCCCTGAGCAACCTGATCTAGTTGGAGATATCCCTGTTCCTTGCAGGGGGGTTGGACTAGATGACCTTTGAAGGTCCCTTCCAGCCCTAACCATTCTATGATTCTATCAACAGCTGTGATGCACCTAAAACACTTTGTGTGGGGAGGCAAAAGGAATGTTAATGTGTCAACCTTCAGTCTCCTCAGTGTGTGACAGGATAGCAAATCTTTTTGTTGCTGCTAGCAGCTGGATGATACAGTGGCCATAGCGCAGGTGTTGGCCAGTGTTGTGGGACATTTCTGTCAATAAAAGAAGCAGTTTTACTTATTTTGGGGAGTTACCTGTTGTTACTGAAGATCTCCAGTTGTCCTTTCCTATCTGCAAAAGTCACTAGAGATGAGAAGATTATAGAACAAAGTCCCAATTCTGGAAAAGTAAGAATGGCTGCACTGAGACGAATTGAGGCTGGAAAAATGTGAGGGGTTTACCCACTAATTCAAGGACTTGATTAACAGGAAGTGAAGAAAGCAGTGAATGCTGCTGTGACTCTGTTCCTTTTTATATGAATACAATTTTGTGAAGCTAATACACTGTATTTAATTCCAGATGTTCTGTTCTAACTTTATATTTAATAAACTTTGTTATCTAGTACATGCCTCTGTTTTATTGTTCCCCTTCTTGACTTTGCTTTCCACCCCTTTCCCTGCCCATGTAACTCTCCAGAGCTCTCCTTTGCTCACATAAGCTCTGTTCACAGCTGCATCTTCAGCTTGTCCTGGAGGCCAGAAAAGGGCCAGCACTCACCTGTGTCCTTTTCCTCCAGGGAGTCTTGAAGCACAATTGTGTTAAGATTGTGGACTAGAGTTGAAGTATTGCTGATAATCAGTTCCCAGTTCTATTTGCCTAGAAAAGCCAATGATAAATGCTGCTGTACTGCTGGCTCTCAGTGAGAAGTGAAGGGTATTGGCTGCTGGACAAGCCAACCTGAAAGCCAGAGTTAACACCTAGCATGACGTGTTACTCGTAACTCTTACCGTGAGGGGTGGTGGGTAAAGGAAAGTCTAGTCAATCCGTTTAACTTCAAAGCCGATGTATTTGTTTTCTTGTTGACAAGTGAAACACCTTTTCTCAAAAGTGGGTACCTGGGTCTTGCTCCTTGTTGGGAACAGCCACAGCTACCCTGAAAGCAGTGCTGCTGCGGTGTTACATGACAAGACATGAGGTCACTATTCTGAAACAGTCATATCCTGTTCTATAAAACAGGGAATCAATCTTCTGTGTAGGTGTCTGTCTTTCATAATTTCTGTCTAGGCATCTGGACCACTTAGCTAGTGTCTCAGTGCTTGATCACGTACTACTGGCACATAGTGGGTGCATGTTGAGTGTTTTGTTTTTTCATTTTCTTTGTACAGCGCAAGCAATGCAGGCAAATTGCATGTGAGCAAGGCAATTTCAGCTTGTTCCTGCACTCCCATTGTTCTTTGCACCTCAGAACAAGGGGGCTTTGGCTCCGTGTCACACAAAGAATGCCTTTCTTAAGCAAGGCTGAAACCTATGAGACTTTCAACAAGCAAATGCAGCACATGGAGAGATGTTTCCCACTATCAAACTATATCTCTTCAACTATGCATATTCAGGGAGGTCTTTCTCTAACATAAGCTTCAGTTTTTTTCTATATCCATCACATCTTCAGCTCCAGAGCATAGTGTCAGGCAGTCCTCTTCCAGATGAGGTACAGCTTCATCTTCCATACTTTGGGAAGTAACACCCAGCTATCTGTTCATGGTATGCCAGTCTACCTGTGCATTGGCAGTGTCTTTTCCTTTCAGCATTTGCCTTTCAGTGCAACGTGCAGTCACCAGTCACTTCTCTCCAACCCTTTTGGCTCCAGCCATTGTCTGCTTTTCAGTGTATTATATAATTTTATTCATACTATAGTTCCTGTGCTCCCATCCTTCCACATTAAGCATTTTCTTCCACACACCTGATGTCTTACATGGTATTAGTAAGAAGAAAGAGCTTAACGGTCTTGATTCAGTCCTGAAAGGTCAGATTAGATTGTTGGAAAAATTGGAGCCTAAGGCCATTCCGGATACACAGGGCAGACAACCTTTCCTTTCTGAGTCTGCCATTACCAGAGAAAGCCTCGATGTGGACAGTTATGACTCACATATGGGAATTGCAGCATGAGCTTTCATAACAGGAGTGAATCCTGGTTCTGTCGTTCATACCACTCCAGCTGCTCTGCAGTATCACAGCTGCAAAAAAGGCAAAGACCACATGAGAAGTGCATTCTGAAAAGCCTTGAATGCACCAATACGTGTCTATGAAGGGCACCAAAGGCTACACAATGATATTAAAACTAGGGATCTTGTTTCAGTAGCAGATAATATGGTTTAATTTTTTATAGCAAGCTATTTTTCATGCTACGTTCCTCAGTTTATACAGGGAAAGAATGACATTTGTGTGCCTAGCTACTAAAAAGAAAAACTGACTCTGTCCCAGACGAAATCAGGACAGTCTTGCAGCGAGCCAGCCACTGGTATGGGCTCAACAGCTTTGGTGTCTTCAGATTTGCCATGGGAGAAATCAATGAAGTGGATGCTTGAAAACAGAGTGGAGAGGTGTGATTTTAATGGGCATGCTGAACTGCTCGCCAGTGGTGATACACTATCAGCAGAAAGCCAAAGGTAGGGTGTCCGTTGAAAATCTAGCCACACATAGGGTTCTTTGGGGTACCTTCTTGCAGAAGGCTGGCTGTCCCTCCATGAAAGGGTCTGTGCTGATTCTGTTTTGCACACGCAGCTGAAATGGAGGTCTGCATATATTATGCTCCTTGGTGCAGATGCCAGTTCCCTTGAGCGGGCAGTTGTGCACCCAGAGCCAATCTTGTGAAGCAAAAGAAACTCTTGACGAGGCCACAGCTTTAGCTCCCGAGGCTTGGACGATGTTGTACATGACAGTGGCTGCCTGGACTGGGACCGCCTACGTCTGGC